GTAAATTTACTTAACTAAATTTTCTTTTACTCTCTATATTATAATTGGGATTATAATCTCTGAAAAGGCAACGAATCGCTAATCTAGATTAAATTAACTCAGGCCGTCGGTGCATCTCAATCTTCATATATAACTTGATAGAGAGAAAAAGCTCGAAAAGAAAAAAAAAAAAAAAAAAAAATCAGACTTATTTCCACGGTTTTTCAAATTTCGATGGGTTTGATTAAAAATGCATCGAGTCGTATGTTTCTTCATTATTGATTCGAAATAACGGGAAATTTATGATTCTAAAATTAAGGATATACGGAATCGATAAGCCGCAGCAACACAAATAAAAGAGGATATAATTCCATAGTGAGTAACACACGATAGAGCTGCGCATAGACTAAAGTTTGGGTGCTAATGAGCACCGCGATTAAGCAAATTTATTCCATTTGTGTATCCCTCCCGTCTCCCTCGCCCCTTTCCGACGGAGGAATATATATATAATTTTTGCTGAAAGTGCCTCGACCATATGAAACCGCCGTGGCGAGCAGTTTGCATCGCAATCGGAATCGAAATGTGATATCTATTAATTATGTACAAATTAATAATAATATGGACATTGTCACATCATTAGGTGCCACACATTGTATATTTAATAATACCGTTATGCATTCGCTCTTCATAGTGACAACGTTCATTCGCTCATATTCATTCGATATGCGGTTGATGCGAATATTATTCAGGTAATCGCAATGTCATACGTGCGAATGATCGAAAAGATATGATTATATGCGCGATTCGAGTTCAATTTCTGGCTCAAATATCTGGATAGCCGTCGTCGAGTCATAAATTTTTATTCGACAATCATTTTATGCGTTATTTTTCTGATAGCTTAATCGTGCACTGTAATATTGGAAAAGGTCGATATCGATGATTACGACGATGTTTTTTTCTTTTTTTCACTGATGCAATGAAAATCGACTGCCGATTATCCAATGTCGCGGATGAATTTTTATTTAATCATCGATGTCATGAGAAACGGACATCATCGACGGGGGCGGCGGGGCAGGTGAGAGCGCGGAGAGGATAACGGAAGTTACAGAAGAGGATAGTGCGATAATAAATATGCCCAGCGCCGGCAGCCATAAATCCCGCGTAATTGAATTTTCAACATCCATAACTGGCCGTCGCGACCTCAGGAAATAGGACGGAACGGAACGTATCTTGAACGGGAGTTAGATGATTCCATTCCGCTTTTGAAAGACACGGCCCTTTTCGACTTTTTCTTCTTTGCTTTCTCTCTCTCTCTCTCTTTCTCTCTCTTCTTTTTCTTTCCATGCGACGCGATAGACAGAATGGCAATCGATTCCGCGACGTTCATAGTCAGAGACTATTTTTAATTCTCGCCTTCAAGAACGCGGCGCGTCAGGAAATAGGGAACGTATGAACGTATCTTGAACGGGAGTTAGATGATTCCATTCCGCTTTTGAAAGACACGGCCCTTTTCGACTTTTTCTTCTTTGCTTTCTCTCTCTCTCTCTCTCTTTCTCTCTCTTCTCTTTCTTTCCCTGCGACGCGATAGACAGAATGGCAATCGATTCCGCGACGTTCATAGTCAGAGACTATTTTTAATTCTCGCCTTCAAGATCGAACCGCGGCGCGATGCAGCAGCCGTCTTTCCTCCTCGCTTTTTCTTCCAGTCTTTTCCTTTCTTTGACTCCCGGTGAGCGAAAAGTTCCTTTGACGCGAACATCTAATCAAGGATTTCCTCGATTTTTGAGTCATTGTCCCGCTCGAATCCCGTTCTATAGTTATATCATTCTTCCCCTATCTTTCCCGCTTTCTCCCTCGATTTGACTCCAACTTTTTCCTTCCATCTCCTTTTACCTTCGTTCTCATCCTTCTCCGCGTTCGTCTGCCATCTCTGTCTTCGCGTCGTGTTGTCGACATTGTCGTCGCATAGACTTGGCACGGAAAACTTTGATTGTATGTAAGTCGGAAGCGCCGGGAACGAAAAAAGAATATTATGGAGTGGTTGCATCGATTGACGACGGTTGCCGAAAGCCGGCTTAAGCACGATGAAATTTCTGCTGATTGGAAATCCTGTCATTCAATAGCCCGCACATATATTTTCCTCGGTCGGTCGGCATAGCGATGCACTTACGTAAAGAATGATTGTGAAGGAGAAGAACACGCGAGCGCGGTGGGAAAACTTGACGAGTAGAAATCGCGTTTGCTCACGGAAAATGGAAATTCTTTTCTTAACCGCATTAGTCGACGCTCCAATGCTTTTTTCCTACGATAATCTTTCCACGTTCGACGCGAATAAATTCGTTCAAAGGCTTTTATCATTTTCAACATTTTGTAATATCGACGTGACGCGATTTATTTCCGTCGCGATACGTATGTAGAAACGAGACAGCCGCTACCACGAAAATCATAGCTTCGAGAAACTTGGAGGAATCGACTACGTCGGATGCCGGCTGATCGGCGACGCGTTATCCATTACCGTGATAACAGCCAGAGATCCGGAAACTGCCATAACGTCAAGGATAATGATAAACTCTCTCGGCGAGAAACAAATGACGTACTAACTGCATATTAACCGAACTGCCTAAATTGTCTGTGAAGCTCGTCTATGATCCGCCCGTTCAATGATCTGCACCGCGCAATTCACTGCCGTTTCACGGACTGGACTAAATTTTCTCGACCGACGCGCCGGGCACGTAATCACCTTGTCTTCCCTGATGGATTAGGATACTCGTCGATGGAAACAATTATTGACAGCATGCCGGTTGACCGGGATTACCCGAAATCGCCCAATTAGCATCCCTTTGCACTATTCGCGTCGACTCGGCGGAATCAAACTAATTATTTTATCATCGTGCGCAAATTCAAGGAAAAAAAAATGTCGATTTTCACACAAATGGCGAATAAGAAAATGATATTCTGCCGTAATCTTACATAAAAGCTTCATTCGCCATGGTCAAAGTCTCGGAAACGCGGACACGGTACACTCTCTTTGGTGAATAAAAATATTACCTCGGCGCAATGTTCTTTTCGAAAGAGCGCGATTCTTTCCAGTCTCCGTCCGTCAGATTTCAAAGTTCTTCGCTGCGCTTCGGTAGTCGTATATTTCACGAGACGCTTCGTGCGTATATATACGTATTCATGGAGCAATGTTTCTTGCGAGCAAGAAAGTTGGACGGTAAGTTAGCACGCTGTCGCGCGTTATTCATTACCTTTGTTCCTTCCGCGCGATCGTATCCCGGACAATTGTGAAAAAAAAAATACGTCCCGCGGAACCCAAGATCAACCAAACTCACTCGTCGGTGTTATGATATTCTTAAAGTTGAACGTTTAGATGAGACTGACTTTTGTGGCGATTATTCTCAACGATGTACTTCACGAGTTAATATATTGGTAGTTTTTAACACCGTTAAATAAATTTCTCATTTTTAATTATGTGTAATATAATATCAAGTAATCAATAATTATAAATAAAAGGTAATTTTTGGAAATACATATATAACTACATATATGTATCAACATAATACGGTAGCGCCGGAAATATGCAGTAGCAATTATAATTAGCGTAGCAACCAATATTACAGAATCGAGATACACCGAAATACGTCGAAAATAGCACATGAAGATAGAACATGCAAGATAACAAATATAACATAACGTATCTTCCCCACAAAATATATTCTGAAAATATGTTTCGTGACACACGTGGAGCGTCATTTTCTGTGAACGCTACTCATATAGCGTATCGCTTTCCCTCGGCAGAGAACGGAAATCCGCGGGGCGAATTAAGAGGATCAAGATAACGAGAGAGTAAGAAGATCCTCTCAATTTTCCGTAACAAGCGCCCATCCAAAGGCTCTCTCATAAAAAAGGGATACGTCTCATCCGTGTTATATGCGCATAAAGGAAAGCGTACATTATGCGTGAATCTTTATATTCGGCGAATGTAAAACTTTTGTAGAGGACGATATTTATGTGTGCGTGTACGTCGTGTGTGCGAATTACGTAGGAGACTAACAATCCGTTTTTACGCGTTCAACAGCTGAGCTTGTTATCGAGAACTAATTCGATTGCGGGATAAAACTTGAACGCGATCGACGATTACCGAAAGCCTCGGTCTTCTCACGAGCGAGCATTTTCTCAGCTGGAGTTGATTTGTAGGACAATATTTTTCCCAGACTAAAAGATAACACATAAACGCGAACGTGCTGTGGTATTCTTTGGAGCTGTCTTCAAGTTGTGCTTGTCTTTTTTTCTTCATTTTTCCTTCATCCATCCTCGCTCTTCTCACCGACTTTCTTTTCTATCCGGGCTTCTTCCGCGCTTCGGGTAGCACGTGACCTCTTTCCCAGATAAAACAATGTTTCTCCACTCTCGGAGGACAGAAAGAGATCTCTATTCACTCTATTCACCCAGTAGATAAGTCGTTTTTTGTCCACAGATGGATAGAAAATTCACACTACCTAAAATGATTGATTTGTTGTGATTCTTGGCTTGGCCTTTGAATATCGTCAAAAGAGCTATTTTGTAAGATTCCTTTATCAATTACAGAACTACTTTATACCAGAAAGCTTATTCAAATTCTAAATATTCTTTTTTATCAGACGAAAGAAATATTATTTTAATACGAAACATGATATTGAAAATATTAGAAAAATAAAATAATAGAAATTTTTGTTAAAACATAATACCAAAAATCAAAATACGATTTGCTTTCTTAGGATCTATATATTTTGAATCCAATAAATTATTGTAATTATTTTTAATTATAATAATTTTTTACTATTATGTTAACAAAAGAGCAAGACAATTTTCTTTGAAATTTTCTTTGACATTTGCAATCAACGATCAATAAAAAATAGGCCAGTCAGTAAGGATGGCAGCACAAGACAGGCTTTCATACTGTGCCATCTCTGATAAATTGCAGAAAGCATGACAATTAATTGAAGAAAAATTTGAATTGCATCAAGGCTAAATTTATTATTGAGGATATGGATGGGGAGGAGGAAGAATTTAAGAAGAGATGAAAAAGAAACTGTTATATTTGCTCGCATATATATTTATGTAATAGCTTGACATACGTTAATTAAACAATACGCAATCATTTTTTATTCTCGAGTTTGTTTCCACAAAACAAAAAGAGAGAAATTTTCCGTCTACATTTTTTATAAATGAAATATGTTTTAAGAGAAAAAATATTTAGACGATCAGTTAAAGTAACATTCGTGATCAGAATGCGACGCAATCGATCGACATCTTCTCGGCAACTGTCATCGAGGACACTTGATGAGCATCAGTGAAATTACATCTCTTCAGCTGTAACTTTCTCGGTTTGCGCCGATACGGTATCTGCGGTTGCAGGTTCTCGGATTCCCATCCATTTGCAGCGCTTATTTAATTCTTGTCGATACCTAGACAATACAAAAATTATTAAATTAAAAAAAAAGGGCCAAAGAAATTATTTATTTAGTTGTCATCTATTTGAGACACTCTATTTTGATTATCGAAATTAACAGCTGCTCGGAAATTGCGGTTAGAAATAACAAAATGTTAGAGACATATGGATGCCTCACCTAGGATGATTAATTGCATATATCCATGGATCGATACATGATACCGTCTTGGCAAATATGGCTGGCAACATAGTCGAGAGTGGAGTAAGCATTTCGCTATAATATACGTAAAGCATGATTAATGTCAAAACAGAAAAAATATTTTTTGAATCGAAGAATAATTTTGGAAATGGACCATCTTACCGATTTCCATAGGCTCCCGTTAAAGCGACAACCGCGTACGGTGTCCACGCGAGTACGAAGAGGAAGAAAATCGTAAAAGCGGCTTTTGTGATTCTCATCTCGACGCTCCTCTCTTTGTCTTGGTTTGATACGAGCGACTTGACGTTCATCTTCTTGGCCTGTGCACGCAATACGCCGGTAAAAATGGAATCCTCCACAAATTGCATACTTTATCGCGACATCAAAGAAAAAGATTACAATGCACAAAGTTGTTGCTTACTTGGTCGCGGAGCATTTTCTCGTGAGTACGAATAGACTTCAACAATTGTGAGTAAAAATAAATAATCATCAGCATAGGCAGGACGTACGCCCAGAAAAATATCGATATCACAAAAGTCCTCGTGTCCTCGTTGTCCGTAAGATAATCAAAACTGCACGTGGTGAGGAAACCCTCTGAAAATTGTACGATTCACTGAATATTTTTCTAAGTAAAATATTTCATGTTTCTAGAAAAGAGAGAGAGAGATAATAGTAAAATCATCTCAAAACACATCTATCTTATATATATATATATATATATATATGTAACTTCAAGTGCAGCCCATTGTTGTTATCGGTTATAAATTGCCTAATTACAGATTCCGAGAAATGTTTGTAGTGGATTGTAAAATCTTTTGTTTTATTTCCCAATCTATTATCATTGAAACAATCGTTTATGATTATTGCGCAATGCACAAATCTGATTAGAACGAACAATCTGATGAGAATATACTAAATTTTAACAAACATGTAGCTATTTTTTCGTAATTGTCTAGTAATAATCAATAAAAATTGTGAAAGCTCGACCATGCCGACCTGTATCGATCGAAGGCGATCGCCGCATTGGTGATTGCTTGTCCTATTCCGGAAATTGCGCCACACAAAGCATACACGTCACATCCAGTCTTCCAACCAATTGTTCGTTCCAAGAAGCTGTTTATAATTAACATAGGCATTTCTGTTGCCATCAGAAGATCGAATATGGCCAAATTCAAAATGAATATGTTTGATGATAATATATGAAATAAAAATATAGAGAGATTAATCACTCGGAATTAAAATATGGAGATTATGCGAAAATTAAATATTTTATTATATTTTTTTGGATAATAGAAAGGATACTATTTGTTTACCTGCCACATATCGACCCCACAATCCTGTCATAGGCATTATCGAGAAAGGCAGTGCCCAGATCCACGTAAGGAGAACTACCACCATAGCTTGCTTTCCGTTTAGTCTACCGTGAATATGGCCAAATTCAAAATGAATATGTTTGATGGCGTTCTCAATGGTTTCGATCTAGAAATTAATATATAGAAACAAATATATTTATACATTGTGCATTATATTAAATTTTAGATAAAGTTATTTTTTGAGTAAAAATAGAACGGGGAATGCGATAGTATTTCCCGTCGTACGATAAGAACTTCGCGGATTGTGCCAAAACGATTCAGCCTCATGTATAGAGATGGCGGCAGCACCACCATATTGTCGTTTACAATATTAATCGATAAATTTAAAAAATAATCTAGTGTCGAATTTAAAAAACACAGAAAATTTTCAAATAATTCTATATATATTTTTATACTAACTATTAAAATTATATACAATTATCTTATTTAGGTACGTAATAAAACACACTTATAAATCGTAAAATATATATTTTACGATTAGATATGTTGCAGTTAAGAGAATTTAATTTATAATTATCCGATATATTTTTAAAGCATGTATTTGCAAGGCATTCATATCTAATCATAAAATATTTATTTTGCGATTAGATATATATGTGCTTTGCTAATACATGCTTTAAAAATGTATCGGATAGTTTTAAGTTAAATTCTTTTAAATTGCACAATTTTTGCTCATAATTTTTTAAATTTTCGACGCTTATAATTAGCTTTTTTTGAATTGTCAAATTTAAATAACATTTTCAAATTATTATGGAATAAAATTTCTTAAACAATGCAAACTTACGTGCTGAAAATCCAAATGACGATGCCATTCCCGACGGTAGAGAGAATTAAGAGCAGGAGGTAAATAAGCGCAAGGCCGACATGCCATAGTCTTCCGGGCGCGAGAAATGCGCGCCAATGTGGATGCACGAGGTCTGCGTGCTCGGCAGGAAAATTCCATCCTAGAAATCGTTCTTGCAGAGGCTGTACATCTCTGTTATTCAAAAATACACGGGCTAATCAATATTTGATTATCGAGTTATTGAAATTTGCGAAACTGTTCGAGCGTAATAAATAAAGCTTCTGCGATACACAGATTCAATAACGAGGGCTTATTGTTCATTTAAATTCAGTGGATCTGATTCTCTCAGAATTTTAATCTGAGGTTTAATCATCGGCATGATTAATATTGAATACCGAAATATTATCTCGTAAAATTGTCTATAAATCAGAATCGACATTGAATTTAGCGTAGAATCTATCATTATAAGATTATACCATTGAATTGTTTAGGATACTTAAAAACTTGCTTTTAGATAAAAAAACATGATCACTTACGCAACGATAGCAGACGAACACAATGATTGTTTCTTGTAATGTTTGATTAAACTGCGATAGAACAAAATCCCGAATTCTTATCTCAAGAAATTAAACAAACAGCCAAGAATTTCCATAAGACTTATATGAGGGTAATTTCTGTCGCTTCCTTCGTGACCGACATTATTACTCCGTCACGACATCGCAAATGTAAAGCAGGTTGTAGGACAAATAGCTTTCGCGTCAACGATAAGAGTTGCGACTTTCCCGAATAAGACGACCCGCAAATTCACTATATCGATCGCAGTACGATGCAACACAAACGTGATCCATTTACGCGCGGCAAATTTGTTCATTCCGACGATAAAATCGCCATCGATACGACCGAGAGAACATAACATCACGAGAAGTTGACGTATCGAACACGAAGGAACTCAAACAATATAATCGCATATAGCTGAGATTTATATCAGGACGAATAATATCGCGGAATTTTGCGTCCGCGTGCAGTCGATATTATATATTATTACCGCCTGCATTGTTATTTTTGTTGTACCGTTGCTGCCGGCAGCTATATGGAGAAAAAAAGATTCGCATTCATCGCGAGGAAAATGATGCGCTTTCACGTGCGGCCAACATTAATAATGATGAAAGCTAAGCAAAGCGTCGTTGTGCATGTGGCGGTGGATTAATTCCGGCCGCGCGCTAATTGGAATGTCGAGTAATTATTAGTTCGATCTATCGAGAGATCGAGGTAGCGGCGTGATACTATAATGCGCGCACGATTTGATAATCGCCTCCACTATCATATCGCGATCTTATCCGTAAATAAAACGCATTTGTTGCGAATACGTATACACGCGCTTGCCGGGAACTTTCGTGCCTCTCGCTCGCACCGTCTTTATCTGTGATTCGATCTATCCTCTCTCGTGACGTCAGTATTATCCACTTTACAGCCGCCATAGAATGTGGAATGATTATGAGGGGAATGATACGGTGAATGATACGGTGAAAGATGGTACGACGTTACACCTACCCGACTCTGCTAGCGAAAGCCAATGGTTCGGCTACGATACCACTAACGTTATGCATCAACATCCTTCGATGCGAGTCGAGTCGTGAGCTGACAAGTACGAGCTGACGGTCGATGCACCGTTTAACGCACCCCAGATAAAGCTCGACTAGTTCTCCGAGTTAGCTCGCGAACTCGTACAGACGAATACGGCGGATGCGTTGGACGACGTTGATTTCTCTCTTTTCTCTTTCCGCCTGATTGACTGTCAGTGCTGGACACGGACGACGAGTTCCTGGAGTTCTGTACACTTTAAAGCTGTAATAGCCGCGAGAGGTTCCTAGATTGAAGTGAGACGCGGCGCGAAGGGATGGGGGCCCGTTCCGCAACTCACTTGTCTGGCCGCGTTGTTATCGCTCCCTTTTATACGTCCACGACATTTCGGATCGAGGATGGCGTGCCGGTTGAGAGCTTAATTCGATTTGCGATTTACTGAATGCGAGAAACCTTTTGCTAGGACGCGAAGCTTGTCCGACACGCAAGCGACCGATCCTCGCCGCGCGATTTCTTTTTATGTATCATAATCTCTATTCAAGGTAATCGCGATTATTAGATTCGTTGTTTTGTGCGACGTCAGCATTAAAATACACGCTCGTGAAAAGTCTAACTTAATAAACTTATCGGCAAAAACCAGCTGGGTAACACTTTATACATGATTGCGATCCCTGTCGCAGTTAAGAGACGCGAGGTAAATTAATTTCCGTACCGGAGAGACCTCCCGTGAAGCTAAGTACGTTCATTGCGTATTTATCCTCTGACTAGGCAATATAACGTCGGCTACAAATATCCATTTCCGACAGAATGGAACGTGTTAAGTGGCGAACGCAGGTTGTTATGACAAAAAAAAAAGAGAGAGAGAGAGAGAGAGAAAGAGAGAGACCAGCGCCTCAAGCCGAGTTGAAAAAAATCGATTTCCGATATAATAAAATGCAATTTACAAGAGCGCGACCATCCGTTCCGAGTTAATTAAATTTCCGATGTAGATCCTAATCGGTATTTTATTTTGCCTTATTGCGATACATCCGCCACCGATAACTGTATAACTCGTAAAACGCAACGCCGCGACAGAATCGACGCGAAAATTCGAACGAGCGAGTGCGTTTCCCGTTATACCGCGAGTTCGCAGTTAGCCGCAGAGATTTTTCACTCTCGCGGTTACCATGTCGGCGATATACGCGGGGAAATTCATCTCGAAGAGTGCAACCCGGTATACCGTGCAAGCGACGTGTCTCGCGTTTCCATGGCTGTCCCCGTTCGCGACCGCAGCCTTCACGCATCCACTGGATTAAATCATAAAATTGTCCCGGAACGTTTGCGAAATTGCGCTGATTTACGAGCGACACCGCGACTCGTGTTACTCTCCTCTCTCGCGCAGGTGGCATCCGTAGCTGTTATCCATCTATTCGTTGGCAATCGTTGGCGACTTCGCTCCGGCTCTCTCGCAAGATGAACTATCTGCTTTTCATCGGCGATCTCGATAAAGATGGTTCAAACGGGAAAAACACCCATCATCGGAAAAAAATACACGACGTAACAGGGCGAGGGAGTAAAATGAAATCAGAATTTAATAGTCACTATATATGTGAATGCAATGAAAAATTTAGTAATAATAAATCGTATTCTGTGTTGTAGTTGCATTATTTAATTTTTATCAAAAGTTGCTTTTAAATTGTTTTTTTTTGCATGGAAGTAATATTCGATAAATGTAAGATTTGCTTGAACTAGGGGAAAAAAAAAATGCGAATGCATCATCGTCGAATCTCATTGAGGAATAAAATATAATCGAGAGAATTTGAAGCATCGTTCTCTAGTATGAAGGGAGTGAACGCGGTGGTGCTTTTGCACGATATATTTACGGCTATATTTACGAGCTACATTCGCCCATGTAATTCACGCGACTTATGAAGCGCCGCTACCATTGTCCGTGATGGAAATTCAGCGGAAAAATTGAATGACAAACAATGGACCTAGTCTGGTCAGATTATGACAACAATGTGAGTGCAGCGAGCGACGCAGCGACGGACGATTGTCTGCGTTGCAGTTTGCGCTTCTATTTCGCCTTTCATACACGTCGTATGTACATTCTCGCATTTTCATGTATACTTTCGCGGTTTGTCATTTCTCGATTTTAGACATCCATCGTCAATACATTGATCCATCGACAAGAGCGCGTGTCGTAATTAAAGTAAAACTATATCGAATTCATAAAGCCACAGATAATCGATTTCAAATATTACTTACTGACTTGAGCATTACTATACCTGCCACCGTATAGCCACGATATCTCTCGCTTACATCTATTTACTGCCTTGGTCGACGCCTTCCTCTTTTTCATACATTCGTCGGCCAATATTCGATTGCCAGCCGATACAAATAGAGATCGATCATGGCTCTGGTTACGAGCCAACGAGACATGTGCCAATAGAACCATTTGATTGGACAAAACTGTAACCCGTCTTTTTAGGTGATATAACATTGCATTCTATACGTATTTTTTTGTTCCGACGATTCGATAAGCCACATTGACGACATTCGATCTAGTGTTTGAGAGAACGGAATTTTGTGATTTTTCAAACGATACAAAAGCCCGACATGAAAGGAATAAATTGAGTATCAATGATAAAAGCACGTTTATATATTTATTATTAAAATATTGTAACCGAACGTATAGATGCTGCTGCATTAAAGTACATTTACTTCGTTAGGTCGTGTGTTTATCATGACCCAAGTGGCAAGACTTGTCACATATTCTCCTTGCAACACACACGAGACCTTAAACTGTTGCCTAGTTTGCGCGGATCTGGGTCGTTTCCGGCATAGAGCGGGATAGGAATAGGATATTGATCGGTGTCATAAATATAGGAAACTAAAGTATTAACGGCCAAGACTCGTGGGATAAACTGTATCTTACCTCGTTTACCTTCGACCTTTCATTTCAGAACGTCTTTATCGTTGCCTCGTCAGAGCGCGTTGATTCTCACTCCCCCGTATATAGGATCTTTAACCGGTAATACTCTCATAATCGAGTCACCGGGGGGACGTACAAAGAAATGCAGATTGAAGAGAGGGATTAACGAGGATTAACGCTAATTGTGCGGTCGACGACGACTACTTCTCGTTCTTGCCGTTCTCGCGACGGCAATTCACCGAAACAAGCGAATGCAAGTGAGGATAACCCCATAGTTCTTCTTTTCCAACGATCGTTCAATCTTGAGAACTTGAGATGATTCTCAATGCAACACGATTGGAGGTTGACACTTTTTTCAAAGTCAAGAGCCATCGGTATTATTCAAATTGTCTCATCAAAGTCAGTCACGCTGCGTCGTCGTTACGCGTGATCAATTCAGCGCCGTTTTTAATCAAAGTTCGCTTTTACAACAAGGGGATTATAACGCGATCAATCGAGGGGGAATCACCATCGGGTGCGCGCGCGACTGATCGATTTTTGGGAAGACGAGATGTTTGAAGTGGTTGGCATAAAGAGTATTTGTAATACATGAGTGGCTAATTTTCTTAATTTAACAAACGACGCGGTAACAATTTTTTCGGTTTATCAGCATAACAGAGTACTTTAACGAAATTCCCGACTTTTTCTTTTGCTTTTTAGCCGCTTATGATATGCAGCGGTCGTTATACGCTTTTATGTTGCGATTATTTTTACGCGAGAAGAGAGAGAAAAGCTATATACAAAGATATAGTGTCGCTGAAAATAAAGCGCATTATATGCATCTCTCGTGAGGATATTTCTACGCGCGAATACGCTTGCATTCATCTCGACGCTCGATTAAAAGAAAACTCATCCTCCCGCTTCGCATTTTAGGAAAGTTGGCCCGTACGAGAGAAAGGCAAACACAAAAAACCGGCGGTGACTGATGGTAAAGTAGTCATTATCGAAATGGAAAAAATACTGCAAAGAGCGATGCATAGTCGTTCGATACTTTACGATGGACGCAAATTTTTACCGCCGATTGTGCAGAAAGTACACATTGTGTACGCGGTCGAGTGATTACGGCTGATTGCACGCGGCGAGTAGAAATCTATCGATTGTTGGGAACCACAATTTCCAAAAGCGTAATATCATCCATCGTTCAAAATAAGCGTATTGCACGATATCGCAAGACGAAATGCGCTTGAATGGTGTGAGAGAGAGAGAGAGAGAGAGAGAGAGAGAGAGAGAGAAACATGCATGAATGTGTATTGAAGGTATAACGTTTCTATAAGGAGATTACTTATACTTATATACAGTTTGTCGGTGCAAATTCTCTATTTTACGATGATGACAAAACTCTTTTGTATAACCATGTATTTCAGAAATACAATAAATAATAAAAAGTAGAAAAAAGAATTACACAACAATGTATTACAGAAATCATAAATTGCGCGATAATTTGATAATCGTAAGACTTTTATAAATTCTTTCCAATATCTGAATGTATCCATATCTCTCTTGTTATCATTACAAGTTGTCTCGGGAACAGTAGGGCGTTTCCCTTTTCTTCGGCAACGTACAATTCCCGATGGAAACACAAACGGCCGCGGCAATTCGATCTTGACGTTCGTTGCGGTCGATGCAACTGTAAGCGCAAATGTTCTCAAAGCGACAGATCCGACAACTAGAAACGAAGCGCACAGCCGAAGCGCGGATCGATTTGATCGAACGACTTTGACTCGGCCTGCTCGAAGCAGCCAGCCGGATGATGCTGAATAAAGTGGAAATGGATTATCTTGGTCGGCCTCTGCGCAGCGCAATCGCGGCTCGTTGCACCGCGAACATGATTAACGCGTTAACATTGCGTCGCTCATTATAGTTCTGATAATCGCAAATTCATTAACTATGCATTATTATTTTCTCAGAATCCAGCGAAATTGCTAGAACAATCAATATGGAGGTTGTTGGCGCATCGTTATCATACAAATATAAGTCTTGCTCGTTATACATATATTATTTCTATTTGTAATCACTTTCACTCTATTTTAAAATATACATAAATAATAAATATACATATTTTTTATAATTAAAATTACCAATAGCATTTAATACTTTTTATCTTGTTGAGATAAAATTGTTATAAGATTATTATTACAAAAATTTGTATATATATTGAAAATATATTGCGATTACATTGGAAATAAATGTCCCACAAAAAACAACTGGTCTATTTGTTTCGGACATCGAAATAAAAATATACAAGAATTTCGCTGTGGAAACGCAAAGAAGTAAACTGAAACTAACGGTTTAGACGAGGCACGTATACGGCAATTGAGGTAACGTCTCATT